AGCGGCGGCCGTGCCGTGACGGGAGGAAGCGGCGCCGGGACGCGGCCGGAGCGTGGGGCGGTGCTGCCGCCAAATGCTGCTGTGCGGGCATTACAGCCGGCTTTATTGCATGGCATGCCTGCTGCTCTGCTGGCATGTGGCTGTTGTGGCCAAAAGCTTTGTTAAATTCTATCATTTAACAGCGGACGAATGTTGTCGTATTCTCAGCTGCGTTTTCCGTGTGTTACTCTTCGTCGCAGTCTTTGCGGGTCTTCCAGATATTTTCCCAGCTTGTATCTTCCCTGGTTTGGCGTTTATTAGTGACCGCGTGTTCCTCTGTTTTTTCTTGAAATTTTTGCATTCAGGTTTTACAGACCTGAGAAAACATGCAGGCAAGGGTCGCTGTTCTGTTTACATGTATTGGCTCCTCCTTTCACTTTTGCTCGATCCAATTGTGATTTCAGCTGTAGCTATGTAAAGTATTTCAGAAATGCCAGCAGACCACTTAGCTGAGAAAACTACATGTATTTAATCAGATTCACTATCTAGAGATGTGCCAAATAAAGCAAGACTGTGAGTTTTTGGGGGCAAAATCCTTCAAAGAGGGTTTCATTTCAGGATATCAATATTAAATTCACACTCCTTTTTAAGTTAGAAGCATTTGGTCTCAAAAGGCTGTATAAAAGTGATCGGTAGTGCAGACAGCATGAGTTCCATGTAAAACGACTTGGGATTGTGCAGTGATGAATTTGCTAACCAAGTTCACTGCTGGGCAGATCCCGTGGAATTTGGGTAGTAATGGAAAAAGAGAATCTTTTGGCAAATTCATTAAAATGTATAGGGAAGGAGCAGTACGTCCTTGAATGGCGAATTAATGCAACAGGAACCAAGAGTCCAAAGCCATGATCCAGAGCAGGCATATGAGTATATCAGCTGTATTTAGAGGAAAACATTGTTCCTGCTACACACAGATTGTTTGATGCACTGTAGGTATTGACTTACGTGTGTGCAATACCAGAGAACACAAATATGTAGCAATCCTGTCCAATTATCCCCAAAAGGGATAATTGTCTTCACTGTGCTATACATGAATATCAAAAAATCTAAGATAGTGCTCTATTAGCAAGAATTAAACTAATATGCATTACATACTGTATTAAAGAGACAGCACTCTCTTGCACTGAGCAATTTATATAGATGGCAGACTTCAGCAATTGCAGAACAGCAGCAGGGGTAGCTAAACCACATGTTCACACTATCAGGACGTGTAGGGATGTGCAGAATCATGTAGTCTCAAAAATAACTGAAAAAGCATAATTCAAACCAAATAGGTGGCACTTGCACTCCATATCTACACCTTAGAGAACAGAGACTTCTGTTTGCACCACATGCACACAGCTGGCCGGATTCAAGGAGCTGTGCTGGAGTAACTGAATGAGCTCATGTGCTGCATCTTCATCCTGGAACTTGTTCTTGTCCTGTTGACATTGAGTGAACACCTTTGAAGTGACTGGTCCATGCGGAGAGACAGAAGCCTGCAAATGTAAAGCTATTTGCAGATCCATATATTTCCATATATTTTAGAGTTCTGAGAAAAATGAAGAAAAACTGGAATAGAACTGCATTTCAAGCATGACTCCTAATCATATGAACAAAATATATTAATTAGAGTTTTCTCTTTCAGATTGGAGGTCCATCATAAACCAGGATAGAGCACAGTAAAAATTACAGTCATCTGCCTTTATTTTCACTTTTCAGCTCAGATAAATATACTAATCAAATATTAAGATTTTTGACCAATTTGAGCTCTATATGCAATGGGACACATTCACTAGAGATATTATAGAAAGATGTACAGTTTAGCAGAATAATAAATATTTAAGTATTTATGGGACAGTAAGCTATAAGCAAGAATTATTAATTTTCACATAATCATTTGCATGTCAAAATATAATGGATGGATGCACACATTTCCTGGACTTCAAAAGTCATTTGTTGTAATGAGGACAAATTAAATGTACCTGTCACTAGCTCCATTTGCTAATACTGAAGCCAACCATGTAAATGGTAAATTCAGATATTTACCGATTCATGACTGAAAAGGTGAAAACAAAATACAAGCATGAATTTCTTTTCTGATTCCCAAGTATCTTATTTCACCTACACTTGAATGCAGGTGTTGTACATCCTGTCAATAATCATTTAAGTTGAAGACATAATGTGATTACCATAAATGCAAACCAGTCAGTGTTATGTGCTATTTCCTGGCAGTTGTGCTCAATAGAAACAAATATGCTCCCTAATTGACAGAGTTTCATAGCCTGAGTTTTAACAGGAATTGTGTTTTCCCATAAAGTGAAAAGATTGCAAAATTAAGCATTTACCCAGTCAGGGATCAGAGTCATCTGCTAAACTTCTGTGACAGTCACACAGGGTGAAATAGGACACCCTAATACAATGAATAATATAAAAACTAAGGAAGCATTTCCCTGATAGTGAAGTATGAGCTGCTAAAATGCAACTAGGATTGCATAGTGTAAGGTATGGATGCATTCAGAAGGCCAAACAGATCCGTAATCAGTGGTACCTGTGAGACACAGCAGACACTGCACCACTCAGTCATCAATGTACCTCTTTTGGAAGCAATCTTTGGTAGCATTGTGAAATTGTGGAAATGCAGAA